AATTAGAAAATAATGATTATGATATAAATATCATAATAAAATAATAAAGAAATCTAAATAAAGAGGTAAGGATATATTTGTCAACTTATAATTAGCCCCCCTCCCTTCTCCTTCTAAACCAAACAAGAAATCTTCCCTCCCTTCTCTTTCCCTCCAACCAAACAAAACTCATACCCTCCCTTCTCTTCCTCTCCCCTCCCCTTAATTCGCCTCCCCTCCCTTTTATTGAACCAAACAAAGCCATAGAGAATTCCTCATCACTTTCTATATGAAAGAAACTTAAAGGCCAAGCCTAAGCGTGTTAGCTACGCACTAAGGAAAAAGTTAATGTAAGAAGAACAGTCAACTAGCGTTTAATTTGCAGAAGACTCGACCGGGTCCAAATCCGAGTCAACTGGCTGAACAATCATGGAGTACTTGTTACGTGCGAGTCCATTATTCATAATATTTATATATACTCACTTTTCTGCTAAATAGTTTAAAGCTACCCAGTTCATTATTTCTATTTTACTTGTCACTGATCATATAAACTTGAAAACGTGAGGAAGAGCACACCACTGTGGGTTCTGGCTTTGGATGCGTTTGTTTCATTCATCATTGTTAGCTACTCAGTTCAGGTTCTTGCAGGCGATGTTGGAAATTCAGGTAATTAACTACGTACGCGCTTGGTCTGCTTTTAAATTTTTGCTTTAACTCAAATTACAGGAAGCTTTGTGTATTCAATGTGCTTACTTGACTTGAGAGTGATTGTTCTTTTACAAATATATTTATTCGTTGTTGCTAAAAGAGCACTTTCCTTCATCTAATTTCATATAAGCTTTTAGTTTGTTACCTTAATTTTATAAACTATCTTTTTAGCTATCTTATTTTAACATTGTCAGTCTCAAATATCTGGGGTGACATTGTAGAGGTGGTGCGGATTAGTTTCTAATTATGTTTATCATTTAATGAGCATCTTCTTTATTTTTCTTAATTTCATTAACAAGATTCAAGGATAAATTTTTTTTTGGATAAAATGGGGGGAGTATGTTTGGGAATCAACTAGTAAAACTAAAAAAATTGACATTCAACAGCAACTAAAAGTCACCGCTGAAGTTACCACTGAAAAGTCATTGTCGTAGCAACTGTGGTTAAAAACTTTCAGCGGCAACAAAAAAAGTCACCACTAAAAGACACTTTCAGCGGCCACTCTTATAACTTTCAAAGGTGACATTTTTGTCACGGCTAAAAGATACTTTCAGCGGGAACAAAAAGGTCACGGTAGAAAGTTGACTTTCAGTGGTGACAAATGACACCTTTGCCACTGCTGAAAATCGACTTTCATTGGTGACTTTTTTTGTCGCTGCCGAAAGTTGTCGCTTAAAGTCTTTTTTTTTTTTTTTTACTAGGGTAATATCGACAAAAGGGATCATTTGTCTTGCATGAATAGTCCCTATAAGATCCAGTAAAATCGGTGATGTGGTGTAATCCGGATTGTCTTATATTTTTCTTAGCTTAACAGTATGGAAATGCACTTATTTCTTCTGCATCTATGAGCAAACCGCGAAGGTATGGATTCGAAGGCAGGCATTGAATTCATTATCAGACTTACTCATTTAGAAAATAAGATGCCATCCCGCCATTCTAACTTTAACGGAGATCTCTAAATTCGAAAGTTATAACTTGGTAGGTTTCTATACCAAATTAAATTTAATATACTAGCATCTACGAATGTTTAGCTAATATTTAAAATTTTTGATGTTGATACTTTCTGTTTGTAAAACTCACGATGTTAGGGTTAGTGGAATAAAAAATATTTTATAAAATTAAGGGATGAAAATAAAATATTATATAAAATTAAAGATGCATTTTTATTCTTTATTATTTAATTAGTTCTACTATGTTATTTAGTTCAGTACAACTCGTGATGCATCATAATCATAAGTATATACAATAAATTAAAATGGTAACCCTTACTTTTCAAGGTGTAGGCTAAATCATAAAAAATCTTATAAATTTTATGTTATATGTAAATAATCTTATAATTTTTAAAAATTTATAATAACTTCTTTAAAATTTTACATTTATACAGATAATTATAATACTATTACTTTTGTTTATTATTTATATGCAACTAATTTAAAGTTTGAGGCGTTTATGTTTATAACTCAAAATTTTAGAAGGTTATATATATGCATACCAAAGTAAATTTTAAGGGGTATAAAATTAATAGTTTCGTCTTGCATGAATAGAATTTGAAGTTTGAGGATGTTTATTATTAAACTTTAAAAGTTAAGAAAATTATTTATGCATGGTTCTACTTAAGTTTGAGGAAGTCTTATTTATTTGAGTGATAAAAAATTATTTATTGGTCAATACTATAAAGGAGCCTTAGTTTTTTTTTTTGGTTGCCCACCCAGCTCACCGGAGCTTTGCTTCGACTACATCTAGATCCGACCCGTGTCGCGCACCTGGCTGTGGTGGGTGAGTCTCCCAACAGGGATTTCTGCATACGCTGAGATTCGAACTCGAGACCTCGCTTAAGCGGTAGCAAGCCGCTTACCACTTGGACCAACCCCCGTTGGTTAAAGGAGCCTTAGTTAAACCGTTAATTTTTTCCAGAGCAAGGGTTTTGCGGAAGAAAGTCAAACTTTTATACTACACACGATTTATAAATCAACTTTTGAAATTTATGAGTAAAAACCAAACGGGTGTTGTATGTATGCATGTATTCCTTAAGCCCACGCGCGCAACAAAAACAAGTAGTTCATATTCGCAAGTCTTCACATTACATAATTAAAGCAAATTAAAGATAATCATAGCAGTATATGTATTTTGATTTTCGTAGAAGGAGAATTTCTTAATAAAATTTTTTATTTACACATCAAATAAAGAGAGATTCTTGTATGCTTCTGGTCTGCCACATCATTTGTGGTCTAACCAATAACAAGGGAACAACTTAAGAGCTAGCATTTTAATTTTCTTAAGAAGGTGCCAGATCAGATTAAAATTCTTCTGAGTTGTTGATTTTTGATTGGTTAGACCACAGATGATGCGGCAGACCAGGATCATACAAGAATTTCTCTCAAATATACGAGAAAAAGATAGGACCAGATGCTATAAAAAAATACGATAGGACCGGATAGAGAAACGTCTAAATCACATTAAAACACACGTATTTATATTTTTTTTTATAAATTTGGTGGATATATTGATATTTGACATAACATTAAAATTATCATAATTTGCTTTTTATATTAAGATAGTTTCTGCCAATTTTTAGTAATTTAAAATTCTAATTTATTTCAAATTTATTTCAAAATTGGTGTTTCGTTATCATTGTTTAGTTTATGATATTCATCCACATAATTTTGCGATCCCATTCGTTATGCATTTCATGGTATTAATATTTTTCAATTTTCTAATTTTAAAAAAATAGGAGTACCAAAAATATCATTACTATTATAAATGTTGGAATATTAATTGTGAATGTTCATGATCTTTTAAGAATTTTCTTTTAGAGTTTTTACTTAATTAACAGCTATATAACCTGCAACATAAATAATTTAGTGAGAGTTTTTCATGACTAACACACATAACATCCAAAAGTTACGTATTCCACAATTATTTAGATTTATTCTTTGTTGTAGCTGTTAAAATAGAGTTTAAGGAGTTATGATCCATAAATAATGGGGATGTATTAAGTGATCGTAAGTTTGAAGTGAATGAAAATTGATTAACTCCTATTTCTCCTCTTATTTTCTCCATCTCCCTGGTTTCAATCTCTCGTGATTTTCTTTTTCCATAACAATTACAAACACCTAAAAATTTCTTTTAAAGTTTAATTGTTTCTTTTTCCTCTATGTGCTTTAATAAGTGAAACTCAATTGTAACAACTAGAAATATAATATGATTCTTTGCAAGATGTTTGAGAAAATCATTTCAAAATATTGCATATTTCAATGGAAAAATGACAAACAAAAATAGCTTTAAAATTGTGAAATCCAAAATCTAATTCTAATATTAAAAATACCAAATCAGTCCACCTGAATCGATTATTTAAAATTTTTTTGAATGACCTTTATGCCCTTGGGCTTTTTTTTGAAATGACATCTCGGCCCACCCTTTTTTTTTAATGCCCCTAAGTACCACCCTTGGAGCTCCATCAACTGTCCGCCTTCGGTACAGTTTATGTTACATTTCGCAGATTTATAAAATAAGAGTTGTATATATTGAAATCAGAATCATCAGTAGCAAAGTAAACAAAGAAAATAGTGAGCAACAGTATCATTCTCCATAAATTTATTCAAATGTGAGGGTTTCTAAAATAAAAATAGTGAGTAACGAAACAATAGTAAAACTAAAATAGTGAACAGTTTTTGCCACAAAAAAAAAGTAGTAAATAGTGAAGTTGGTCACTAGTTTACTTCATTAGTTATTACTCTTACTTTGAAATTCAAAAAATATATTAGAAACTCCGACATTCTTGTTTTGAAAATTTGAAGAATGTATCAGGAACTCCCACATTTGAATAAATTTATGGAGAAGACCCATAGAACAAACTACTTACTACATTTACTTTGCTATTTACTACTATTGTTTTGATAATTCAAAAATTGTATTAGGAACTTCCACACTTAAATAAATTCATGGCAAAGACATATGTTACTATTTACTATTTACTATTTATTTCATTTACTTATTGACGACTATACTATGGTTTTGCTATTTACCACTCTAGCATTGCTTTTTATTATTCTTTTTTCGAAAATTTGAATAGTTGTGTCGAAACTTTGACGAGTTGGGATGTTTAGGGACATTTGAAAAAACGTGGGGGACAGTGATGTCTTCCTACCAACATTTCAAAGTTCCAGTAAAATTTTGTAATTTTAAATGCATGTTTGTCATTTTCCTTATTTCAATTCTAATTACAGCCTACATAACATTTCATATCGACAGAGAGGATAGGCATTGATTGCGGATCAACCCAAGCAAGTCGGGACGAGAATAAGTTTTATTATATGGCAGATGACGGAAGTGTTGTGGACTCGGGTCAAATATATAATTTATCTTCTGAATACGCCCTTGACGGTAACGATGAGCAGGTTTGGCAGCAGATGAACAATGTAAGAAGTTTTCCAGAAGGGAAAAGGAATTGCTATACCCTCAAACCCAAACAAGGCAAAAACAACTTTTTTCTCGTTAGAGCTTACTACAAGTATGGAAATTATGATTACAAAAATTCTGCTCCATTCTTCCACTTCCATCTTGGCGTTAATTTCTGGACAGGATCGGGTAATACCAGTAACGATAGAAGAACGGAAGCCATTCATGTTTCTCGAACCAACAATGTTGATGTACGTCTTATCAACACTGGCCGTGGAAAACCCTTCATTTCGCTGCTCGAACTCTGGCCTCTCAAGGATTCTATATATCTGAACGAGTCTGATTTCTCGCCGCTAGGCGTCGTGACACGCTCTTCTTTGGGAACATCTAAAGCAGATTATGTTTTCATCACGTAAACTATTTCAATCTATTTGTTACTCAGTAGTACTTACTTATTCATTCAACCTGGATTAGTTAAGCATGGTTTGTTGTTCAAATTATAATGCAGATACCCAGAAGATATCTACGGTAGGTCATGGTACCTCGGTAGAGAGATCGAAGACTCAGAGCCAATCGCTACATCAGTTCTGATCGATGGCGATGTGTCAAACTATAAATTACCCAGAGAAGTGTTGGGCACTGCAATTCGTTCAGGGAGCGGTTCCTCCTTATTTATCGAGTTGGATTACAGCACAAATTACGAGTACTATGTTTACCTTCATTTTTATGACTTCGTGGAGCGTCCTCAAGATCAGCAAAGAAAGATGGAAATTACTTTCACGGATACGATCCGAGACAACATAACTCTTCAATACCGGGTGCTCAAAACCATGGTGAGGAGGATGCCTAAAGGGGAATACCTTAGTAACATTTCAGTCACATCCACCCCAGATTCTGGTTTGCCCCCCATGATCAATGCTCTTGAAATCTATAGAGTACTGCCCCAATCGGATTCACCAACTCAGGAAAGGGACGGCAAGTATTACATATTTTGCTATCTTATCATTCTCCTTTTACAATTACTTTTAAGAATGAGCGCCCATGCATGTTAAGCTACTCTGGTCTATCACATTTGTTTTAAATTTTTTTATCTAGATTTAGCACCAGATTATTTAATATTACGAAAAAGAAAGTGGTTTTAGTTAACTTAAACATAACAAAATTGTTAGGAGCAGGGTTCGTAATAGAAAAAAAAAACATTCTTTTTGCTTATTTTTATAATAAATTGAAAACAGAACTTTTATGATTTGCTTAAAGTTCTCGCAACAACTCCCCATACTCAAACAATTTTCTCATGTTTAATTAACCAAATTCGCATGTGAGCTTCTTTTACATGAATTATTATCAGTCTCTACACATTGATCTTTGATTCTAACTGATCATGTTTGACAGTGAATGCTATGCGGATTGTGAAACAAGCATATAAAATCACCAGAAATTGGCAAGGAGATCCCTGCATGCCACGCGGTTATAGTTGGGACGGTCTGAATTGTAGTTACTTTGACAACATTCCCAGGATCACTTCATTGTGAGTAGTCTTTTGATCTTTTAAAATTTTGTTAGGTTTGATAACCCAAGTATATTCTGCTCTTCATGCTGTTAATTTATTGATTTGTCAATCAATATTGCCCAAGGAGCTGTAAGGAGTTTACATATTTGTTGTGACGTCCACTCTCTCAGTTCGTCCTTGCTTATTATAGTGAAATTTCCATTCTTGACCACATATGAGCAGGAACTTGAGCTCAAGCAAATTGACTGGACACATAAATACTTCATTTTCCGATCTCATATCATTGGAGTCCCCGTAAGTATTTAAGTAATGCCGACCTGAATTTTTTTAAGTCTACATTCATTGTCTGAGCAACGCATAATAAATCCCATGCAATAACTTCATCTGATTAATATGTCTCATGTTGTAGGGATTTGTCCAACAATCAATTGAAGGGAGAAATACCTGAAGTTTTAGGAAAACTACCCAATTTGAAACTGCTGTAAGTTGCAATGCTTTAGCATATATGTAGAGGAATAATACTTTCTAGTCCAACAAATATATTGTGATTTTCTCATGTGATGTTTTAGCAGTAATTTGTCAGGGAACAATCTAAGTGGCCCAATTCCAAAGGCCCTAACGGAGAAGAACGGCAATCCTTTAATATTGAGGTTTCATTTGCTTATTTCAACACACTTAATTCATTCATCTGCAGTTGCATTGTCTGCATAGAATGGCACTTCTTCTGCTTTGATTGAGAATATTCAGAAGAACTTCTTCTATTCTCTCTTCCTTCACTAGTGAATTTTAGTTTCAAACACATTACTAGTAATTTTCTTCATTCAGGATATTATTAACAGTCTTATATATTGCCAGATGCTAGCTAGTTGCATAGTAATATGCAGATGATGTTCTATCATACGACTCGCAGTTACTAACTGGTGCCTTTTCTTTCCTTGCCTTTCCCTTCCCCTAGTTTGGATGGAAATCCAATTTTCTGTCAGATGGGTGCTTGCAAAAAGAAGCCCATTATACCAATTATTGCATCTGTAATACGTTCTGTAGCAGTCCTATTAGTAGTAATCTGCATTTATGTGAAGCTTTGCAAACATAAAAAGAAAACACAAAGTGATATGGAAGGAATCCCAGGTGAGCTTACACCCTCAGTCTTCTTTATATCCATTTTTCCTTTGTGAATCTTTGGAAAGCATTTATTGTTTTACAAATTTCGTGCTCTAATATACTTTACTACTTGTCGCGTTGCTCTTCATCATTTTTGGATTAATTCTCACCAGTCACCAGTCACCACAATCATTTACTAGTATGAGAAAGTCCATTTTTAAAAATAAGAACCTTTTATGAGATCATTTTCTCAGCTGTCCACCGCATTTATTATTTTTGACGAAAACGCTCCAGTATTAAATATGCACAAGTTACTTGATTAATTAATGGAGGTTTTCTCACATTAATTACATTGAAGAATATTACTACAAAATAGTGTCAATTATTGACAAATTTATTGTTTTTAATTAACATAACTACAGTAATTAAAATTTAAAAGATTATTGTAATTAGTAGAAATGAGGAGACTGGTTGACAATAACTAAGTGGAGAACCGTTAATTAAGGATGAAACATGAAAAATTATAAAGTGCTAATTTAAGGATTGATTAATTAGAGAGGTAGTACGCCAAATGCATTACCCGGAACGTAATTTTCCTTTGTGCATGTATGCAATAGAAATAGTCCTTTATTATACTTAATAGAAGATCATTTAGAAAATTTAATAAAACATTTATAATGTATTTCGGAAAATGCCCTTTCCTTTTCACTCTCTTAGCTTGATGATGACTTTCCCATCCTCACACAACGAATTATACCAATCAAAGAGAAATTTTGGAAAGTTGTAAAAAATTCTAAAATTTAACTGCTTTTAGCTAATTTATTTAATCTCACAGAAGTAATTAATATGGCTTTATAAAAGAGACATAAGTGAGTGATTAAAAATGTCTGAACATTTTATTGTACATATGTTTATTTCTAAGGTAATCCAAGTTCAATCATTAATACATGATGCTATTGGAATTTCTCTTCCATTTGTAGCGACATTATTTCAAAATGACGGGAATCTAAAATCGAAAAACCGTGCTTTTAATCACTGGCAAGTTCTTAGTATTACCAATTCCTTTGAGACTGTTATCGGACAAGGGGGGTTTGGCAAAGTGTACCTGGGCACACTACAAGATGGTACGAAAGTTGCAGTCAAGTTACTCTCAAAATCATCACAACAAGGGTTTAAGGAATTTCAGTCAGAGGTTAGAAGAAAAAGTCATCAATTATAGACGTTGGGTTTGAATGTTTCCTTTATATAAATTAAACTTTTGAAGGTGACACGAAATGCAGGCAGAACTTTTGATGGTTGTTCATCATAGGAACTTGGTTTCTCTTGTTGGCTATTGTAACGATGGTGACACGAAAGCACTAGTTTATGAATACATGGATGAAGGAAATCTCCGACAGAAATTATCAGGTTTGTTAATTACAATACATATCTCAATACTTATTCCTCTAGCTTAACGACGAGTGTTGTTAATAGTTGTTTTAGGATTTGTCTTGACATTATTGCTCTAAGAAACATCAAGGCGATGAATTGAAAAATAAAAAAGGAAGAGGAAAGGATGGTAACTATACAAGTGATAAATCATTACTGAGTTTGTGCGGTACTTGACATTTTACTATGCGCAACCTAAATATTTTGCAGATAAGAATCCATATGCTTTGAAATGGAATGAGAGACTTCAGATAGCATTGGATGCAGCATGTGGTGTGTAAAATAATAGTCTTTTTCCCTCTTTGAAATTGTCAATCCATGTTCCTTTGCTTTTACTCTTTTTCTTTGTTTTTAATGATTTTCCCTTTATTTTAACTTCAAATGTTATCTGGTTGCTCAACAAAAATGCAGGATTATTGGACTATCTACATAATGGTTGTAAGCCAGCCATAATTCATAGAGACCTGAAACCTTCAAACATCCTGTTAAGCAAAAACATGCAAGCTAAGATTGCTGACTTTGGATTATCCAGGGCTTTTTTTGATGATACTGATATGCAGTATTCAACTTGTCCTGCTGGCACAATAGGTTATCTGGATCCCGGGTGCGTATTTCTTTTCTAATTTCTAAACTTTTACCAGTACTCCTTGATGCAAAAACTCTTTAATTAACTTTTGAGCAATTCATTAAGATAGAAATTTGTTCTAGCTTTACCCACAGATGTGCAACTCAAGATAATCCGCAACTGATGATGGAGCAGTGATTGTGCCTAAAATATGCGTAGCTTAATTTTCTCAAAATTTATAGATTCCATGATGTTGAAAATCTAAACAAACCTACGAGATTTTTCCAGTATATAGATCAACTTTTAGCAAACTTTAGTAGAACAGATTGAAAATGGCATTCTTATCACTTGAACAGATATAGCATAACATTTTTTTCCCGGCCAAATGCATTAAAATGCAAATTTATTGATGGATACTCCATCTTGAAAAATTTACAGATTCCATAGCTGTGGAAACCTGAATAAGAAAAGCGATGTTTATAGTTTTGGGATAATTTTGCTTGAGCTTATGAGTGGTCGGCCAGCGGTAATAGGAGCACCTGGTAGCAAAAGTCACATATCTGATTGGGTGGCTCCAAAGCTGGAAAGTGGGGACATCCAATCCATTATGGATCCAAGATTAGTGGGAAAGTTCAGTGCTGCTTCAGCATGGAAATTTTTAGAGATAGCCCTGTCTTGCATTCCACAAGTTGCAATTCAAAGGCCTGATATAGGCCACGTAGTAGCTGATTTAAAGGAATGTCTGGCCTTGGAAATGTCCCTTCAAAATGCAGAAAGTAAAAGTGGGACTTCTGGATCTCCTTTGATTACCACTTATTTTCCACTTGAATCAAACTCAGGTCCATGTGCTAGGTAGTAGGATTATTTGCAGAGCCTAGCAGTCTCTCCCAACCAATCATCCAATCCAACCAGAGAGATTTGGTCTGTTTAGTCAAGTAATCATGTTTCTTTGCTGTATTTTCTAGTAAGTCCGTTTGTCAAAGGTTAGGTTGGCTCATGAGATGAAGAAATTTGTGAATGACTTTGCACCAAATTGTTACCACTTTATGCTGAAGTTTGTATTTGTTCCCTTTTTTAATTCGGTGAAAAACTCATGTCTTGAAGGGGAAACAAGGCCTCATGGAATAATCATATTCAGCTAAATGCTCTGATTTCAGTTTGTTCGTTTTTCATTTCTTCTTCCTCCATTATGGAGGTTAATAGAACTATATATATCTACATAGTGGCAGCAATCATCCTCTAAATGACGGAGACATGAAGACATCTGACATTTTACCAAATGAACAGATACAAGCCAAGACTGTAAATTTTAGCTGACGATAATGAGCTTCATTTAGTGGTATTTTGTAAGTCAACATTTGTTTTTAATTTGGAAGGAATGATGTGCGATTCATTTTTGGGGCACAATGACATATTTGCTTTCATCAGTTTTGCAAGATCACAATCTAAATTTATATAAATCTGTTCTGATAATGTAATTTTGCGGCTCAGTAGAGTACAATACTTCAGGAGAAAGGAAACACATACCTTAAAGTCTATGTTTATTATATCATAGTGTACTATTTAGCTGAACATTGCACTGTTTATGGTCCGTCGTCCATTGAATTTACACCCAACCCACCATTCTCTGTTCTTCGAAGTCTCATTTTTATGCCTCACGGTTTCTTTTTCTCTTCTGGAACTCCAAGAGGGCATCACAAGGGATTCCGGTTTTTTTTAGATCTGTTCATTTTGTTCGTCATTGTTCTTGGCAACTCAGCGCTAGTAATATAATTGCAGGTAGTTATTTCAAATTGTCTAGTGCATTAATGTCTTCTCCCTGCAGCATACTCCGTCCGTCCTTTTTTATAGGCAATAAGACAATATAGGACTTCATTATGTAAATCAAAAAGTTAGTTAAAGACAATACATAGATAAAAATTAGAAGTTCTTTCTTTAAAATATCCTTATGTATAGGGGAGAGGGTATAAGAAAGAAAATAAAAATTATTATAATAAAGAGAATTATGAAAGAGAGAGAATGTGTGATGGAGAGAGATGATGGTTTGAGAAATGTGATAATAAATATATTGAATATTAAAACAAGTAATTAATGGGGATAAAATAGCAAATTTGTTACAAAAATTTAAAACAACTTGCAAATGTTGTTTATATTTAAGGACAAGAGGGAGATAGTAATTATTGCTTATAAAAAGGGATGGAGGGAGTACTAATTAGAAAACTACAGATAAAATAATATTGACAGAGATAACAGATGTTTGACCTTTAAATAATTAATTAATAGATCAACTTCTCCGATATGAAATTTTTTTAGCCAAAAATGAGGAGATTAATTATCTTTGTTGATACCCAGAATGTAAATTTGTTCTATTTTACTCAACTTTAGCAAAATATATAATAGAATAGCTTATTAGCATTTGTTCATCATTCAAGCCCGTCTAGCAATACATATAATTTCAATTTAAAGTAACCGCACGGCCTTGAAACTTAGCATTGATGATTAAAAATAGACGACCTGCTCAATTCCTTCAAAAACTGATTAATCTTGCAAAATTTGCAGGTTCCATAGATCTGGAAGTGTGAACAAGAAAAGCGATGTTTACAGTTTTGGGATAATTCTGCTTGAGCTAATGACTGGACAGCGACCAATAACTGAAACGTCTGACGGCGCACGACACATATCTGATTGGGTAAATCCAAAGCTTGAGACTGGGGATATCCAAGCCATTGTGGATCCAAGATTAGAAGGAAAATTCAGTCGTGCTTCAGCATGGAAGTTTCTAGAGATAGCCATGTCTTGCATTACACCCGCAGCAGTCCAAAGACCTGATATAAGTTCTGTTGTATTTGATCTCAAGCAATGTGTGGCTATGGAAGCATCACCGGAAACAAGTTATTCCCTGTCTGGATCATACTCTCCTCCATCTGCTAGGTAGGATTGTTGTAGCGGCATTCATGGTCTTTCTCTGAATTGATCATCCAATCGCGGCAGAGAGATTTGTTTTGCTTAGTCAAGCTGTTTGCTTGTTTGGTTTGTTCTAACAAACCCATTGGATCATGCTTGGCCCCAGAGATAGAGAAATTTGCAAATTGCATAAACTAAACCACAGGATGCATATGCAATGTAGGTTATGTTACTAGTGCAAAATATTTTATCAGACATGTGTCTATATATATGGGGTGTAGAAAATATAGTAGTGATTGTGCCTAAAATGTCATATTTGCTTAGCTTAATTTTCTCAATGGCTAATTAATCATGCGAAAAAAATAGATTCCATAATGCTGAAGACTAAACAAAATTTAGAGAAAATTCTCCGATAACGAACTACATAGCTCAACTTTTAGCAAAATTTAGTAGAACAGCTTGAAAATGGCATGTTCGTCATTTGGCCACATCCGACATCACACTTTTCTGGGCCAAATACATGAAAATGCAAATTTATTGATGGATACTCAGTCTTGAAAAATTCACAGATTCCATAGCTGTGAAAACCTGAATAGGACAAGCAATGTTTACAGTTTTGGGGTAATTTCACTTGAGCTTATCAGTGGTCAGATGGCGGTAATACATAGGAGAACCTGTTCGCTGTCCAGCATGACCGCAAACGCACGGATCATTAACAAATAGTATAGATTAAGAAAATGTCGTTCCCCTGAGGACTAAAGTGAAAATGAAACGATTAACACAAACATGATCCAGATTAGGTTGAGCTAAGAAAATTTTGCGAATTGATAAAGTTCTTGACCAAATTAAGGTGCTGTAAAAATTAAACTAAAAAATAAAACTTCAATATTTTGAAAATCTAGGATTGCTTATCCCCTTTGCACTTCTTAAAACTATTCTTTTCTCTCAAAAAGGCTTTTTAATGATAAAATGTGCTTGTCCAAGATTCTAAAGTATTTGAAAACTCTCTCTCAAGTCAAAACCAAATTTATCTTTCCATTTGAAATGCTCAGTCTCTTGAAATACTTAATGAAAATCATTTTGGAAAATCAAGCTTGTTTTGACAGTGCGCTAGGTTGGTAGATTATCTCTAATCAATCCAATAAACCATCCACTCACTTAAGAATTTCAAGTCAAGCACAGTTTTTGTTGGCGGCAGCACCTGCAAAAAATAGTTAATCCGAGTCACGTCCTAAGGACGCTGTCCTTAAGAGCTATTCCGCAACCACCGGTAGATAAGGATGCGGCACTCCCCAGGATTAAACGGATCCTTCCTGTAAAACAGGGTGAGCAGAACAGCAGAAGATAGTAGTAAACTCAGCAGTAAGAAAGCACACAAGAGGGGGAAGAGAGGAGCTCGAAAACTCCAGAGCTGTGTGTTCTGAACCTTAGACCAGAGCACCCTTTTATAGGCCTCCATGATCTGAATGTTGCTTGCCTCTTAAAGCTAATCAAGTTTCAGTTTTGAACGTTGCACATTAAAGGATTTAATTGCATAATGTGAACGGTTGGAGGCAAAGAGATAACGCTTCCGTTTTGTGTTTCATAGTCATTGTTTAATATATTAAAAGGAATAAAACCGCACCAACGCTTTAAACATTTCAGACGTTACTCCATTTTGAAATTCATGGCCATCATTTAATACATGAAAACATGGTTAAAGCACCTGGATTTCAAACCGTTCTAAGCCTTAGGCAATTATAGAGAATTTCCGGTCAACAATTTAAATGGTTCAATGCATTAAAAGATTTTTCGGTTTAAGATTTTAGTGGACCACTTTTAAATCCCTTAATGCGTTGAAAATCCTTTTATGACATGAAAACCCTTTTAACAATTGATTTTCCTATTCTTAATAATAATAAGAAAATCTGTTCACAATTAATACTCAATTTGTTTTTATCTTCCCATATTCCCAATTAATGTAAGATCCTTTCTTTGACACACCCAAAAATATTACAACAATCCCCCACATGTGTCAAAGAAAATACCATTTGCTGAGTTACACACACGAGTACACCCATTGTATCTGGTGGTCCTTTGAACTTAAAACCAGACCTAGACCAATAATACTTAGCACACAGAGGTGCCGGTGGTTCTTATGAACTTAAAACCAACATCTCTAAGTGTGTACTAGAGGTATTAATAGTCAGACTGTACCCCCACATTTCTGCTGTTAACGGCGTTTTTGCGCGTTAAAACGGCCATGCGCGTGCCTGGTGCATAACGAATGCTCTAGAGATTTTGCCATGATCTCATAGGAGCGGCCCCACTCCACATTCGTAGAGGTGATTTCATTAAGTGTACCTGCAATGAGCACACCGTCCCGTGAGACTATGAAATCATTAAGAGCTTCCGCTCAGCCTCACCAAAATGCATTCTAGCACTTTTTCACACACCATAGGAAGGGACTACTGGTTTATTTAGTGCTAGCAGAACTAACAAACGACTTGTTCTTACCCATTGAACCTTCTTCATGGGATCACCAATCACAAAGGTTGGGTTGCCATCGCTGTTAATTTCAAATTGGCTTCAGTCCCATTCCCCTCGATGTTTCATAAATTTGTTTCCTCCCTAGAGGTTTTGTTAACGGATCCGCTAGGTTCACTTCTGACCTCACATAATCGATTGAGATTACTCCATCTTTTAGCAGCTGCCTTATAATATTATGTCTCAATCGAATATGTCTACTTTTACCATTAAAGGTTTTATTTTTAGCCGTAGCTATCGCAGATTGGCTATCACAGTGTAAAGACACTGATGGTGTTGGTTTTTCACCCAATGGAATATTCGCTAAGAAGTTTTTCAACCACTCAGCCTCAGAACCAGCCAACTCCATTGCAATAAACTCAGAATCCCTTGAGGATTTTGTTAGTATAGTTTGTTTGGCTGACTTCCATGTTACTGCACCACCACCAAGATTGAAAATATAGCCACTAGTGGATTTTGTCTCATCTGAGTCTGAAACCCAGCTAGCATCACTGTATCCTTCTAATACAGCGGGAAATCCACTATATAGTATACCATAATTCATGGTACCTCTCAAGTAACTCAATACCCTCAATAGAGCCTCCCAATGCTTACTGCTTGGGCAATGAGTATATCTGCTCAATCTACACACAGCATAAGCTATGTCCGGCCTGGTATAGTTCATTAAATGCAACAGACTCCCAATGATCTGTGCATATCTAGATTGAGCAACTGGATCTCCTTCATGTTTTGTTAAATGCATATTGGAATCATAAGGAGTGCTAACAGGAGAAACATCATAGTGTTCGAACTTTCTCAAGATTTTCTCAACGTAGTGCTCTTGAGAAAGCAGAATACCACATTCATTCCTTATGATTTTAACGCCCAATATAACCTTTGCTTCACCCAGATCTTTCATATCAAAATTTGAAGCAAGAAAACATTTTGTCTCACACACAACATTCATGCTAGTACCAAAAATAAGCATATCATCCACATATAAGCAAATAATCACACAATCACCATTTACAAGTTTTGTATAGACACAACGTTCTACCTCAACAGTAGAGAAGCCACCACTTAACAAAACTTGGTCTAGCTTTTCATGCCATTGTTTAGGTGCTTGTTTCAAACCATATAAAGACTTAACAAGTTTGCAAACTTTGTTTTCTTGTCCAGGAACTATACACCCCTCAGGTTGGGTCATATAAATTTCTTCTTCTAAATCACCATTTAAAAAGGCTGTTTTAACATCCATTTGGTGAATAAAAAGTTTGTGGATCGAAGCTAAAGCAATCAGGATTCTAACAGAAGAAATCCTAGTCACAGGAGAAAATGTATCAAAATAGTCAATGTTTTCTTTTTGAGTAAAACCTTTGGCTACCAGTCTAGCCTTATATTTATCAATTGATCCATCTGGAAAATATTTTTTCCTAAAAACCCATTTGCACCCAATAGGTTTTGCTCCTGGAGGCAAGTCAACCAAAATCCATGTTTTGTTTTGATTTAAAGAATCTATTTCAGCTTTAATAGCTTCTTTCCAAAACTGAGAATCTGGAGAAGAAATAGCCTCATGAAAATTTTTCGGATCACCTTCTACTAAATAAGTATAAAAATCATCTCCAAAAGATGTTTCTTTTCTTTGTCTTTTACTTCTCCTTAAATTCTCACTCAAACTATCATTTGAAGTTTTTTCCAAAGAAGAGTTTTCAACTCTTTTAGGGACACGCTCAACTTTCAAAGGAAATATATGTTCAAAAAATTCTGCATCTTTTGTTTCAACAATCGTATTAGGATCCAAAATATCACTTTTCAAAACTAGAAAACGATAAGCAGCACTTTTTTGAGCGTAACCAATAAACATGCAATCAGAAGTTTTAGAACCAATCTTTCTCTTTTTAGAATCAGGTAATAAAACTTTTGCAAGACACCCCCACACTTTTAAATATTTGAGGTTGGGCACAAATCCTTTCCATAATTCATAAGGTGTCTTTTTAGTTTTTCTATGGGGTATTCTATTTTGTAAAAAACAAGCAGACAATAAAGCTTCACCCCACAAGTTATCAGGTGCAGCAGAACTCACAAGCAGAGCATTCATCATTTCTTTTAAAGTTCTATTTTTCCTTTCTGCTATACCATTAGATTCAGGTGAATAAGGAGGAGTTACTTCATGGATTATACCCTCTTTTTCACAAAAATCATTTAATAATAAATATTCTCCTCCTCTGTCTGACCTAACTCGTTTAATCTTTTTATTCAGTTGATTTTCTACTTCTGCTTTATACAAAAGAAACATTTCAAAAGCTTCATCTTTATTTCTCAATAAATATACTTTAGTATATCTTGAAAAATCATCAATAAAAGTGATATAATATCTTTTGCCTCCTCTAGTTTGAACTTGTTTTAAATCCCCTAAGTCAGTATGAATTAAAGATAACAATTCAGTTTCTCTCTGAGTAGAAAAATGTGGCTTCTTAGTTAATTTAGTTTCTGCACAAACTTCACATTTGTTAAAATCATTACTTT